GCTGTATTTAACCAATCAAAATCGTGAAATTTGATTAATCCTGGATCAGCCTGAAAATCAAAAAAAATAATTAAACTCAATTATCTCAAAATAAAATATATGTAAAAATGTGCCCTTTTAATTGAAGACACTCTATATAAGTCCTAATATGGAATGATATTGAGTACTTGCTTGGAAAAGTAATACAATACTATCAAAACTGGAGTAGTGAGAAAAGCAGTAATATACAACTATAGATTATAGTAAAGGATTATATTTTAACTAAAATTAAAAATACCTCTGGTACTAGTAGAACAACTATAGAAAGCTACTCGGTATAGAGAATATAATCTACCTCTATATATCTAAAAATACCAATTTAGAGCTCTAGTTATACCTATATAAAAATCTATAACAAAAAAGAATTAGGATTTACCAATACTAAGGTGATACTAACTAAAAATAGCTAGAAGTGATTTTGTTTGCTATTTAAGTAATTTTGTAGTATTAGGCTGGTTTTAATAAGATAGATTATTAAAACAAAATTATAAAAATAGCTAATAGCTGGGAGTATATAGTCTTGTAGTTGCTGTGCAACTCAAGAAATCCTTATGAATCATAGTTTTAATGAATACTATATTAGGAAGTACTTAAAAGGATAGTAAGAAGTATATTACATTAAATAGCTTAGAAAATGCTAAGATCTAGAAATAGCAAACCAGTGATAGCAGCAGAGTTTGGCTTAAGATATGAGATTAATTTACTTGGGGAAGTAAGTAAGAAGCCTGAGACATTTATATAATATCAAAGTTGTATAAAAGAATGCAAGCTAACAAAGAATAGTACAAATACTTGATAAGTTTTCTTTTCAATATGTAATACCAATACTTCTTATATAGAACTAGTGACAATAACAAATATCTAACTTGAGAAACATATACAAGAGACTATTTTTAAAAAAATATATCAGTTTAAAAGAAGTACTAAATAACAGACACACCAAATTAGGAGGCCATTAAGGACCAATTTTTTGAATAAACCAATTTGGGAGTTATCAAGATTTAATGATAAGACATAGTGGGTAACTAAATATAGTCTAAACACCAAATCTAGATATAACCCAATATATAATAGAAATGTAACATACTCTGGTAGGTTTAAGTTATAGATAAGATTGTTTAAGTCTGTATTCTTAAGATAGATATGTAATTATATAAAACAAATACTTGGAATTATCTAAATAAAGATACAAGGCAAAACCTCACCTTAATACCAAAAAAAATTAAAATTTTTTATTTTTATTATAAATAATTATTTTTTTAAAAAAAAAACTTCTAATTTGAGTTAACAAATTTGTAATTATAGTTACTATAACTATAACTAAGATTATGTATAATATAAAATTAAAACCAAAACTTTTTTTAAAAAAAAACTTAAAATTTTGATTATAAAACTATTATTTACATTCTAACAAAAAAATTTTTGCTTTTTTTAATTCAAATTTTACTTTGACTTTAATTTTTTAACTATAAAGGTTTATTTTTATAAAAAAAATTGTTTTGATAGTTACATTACACCTAATTTTAGTTATGGTTACAGTAATTTATATACTGTAGTTACAAATTCATTAATTTTTCTAATTTTACAAACCAAACTAAATAAACATTTACTATACTAAACAAAAAAATTAATAGCAAAATAAATTATTTAATAAATTTTAATAATAACTATTAGAAATAGATTTGCTTTATTAAATCTTGTTTTAAAACAAAAAAAACATTAATACAAATTGTATGAATCATAATTAACTAATTAGTTTAAAAAACTACTCGTGTTTGATATAATAAATTGTCAAAATTGTATAAACACTATAATTACTGTAATTTTTTATATAGATAATTATTTGATCGGGTTGATCAATCTGTCGATCACTCGGTGACCCGCGGGGGCTTTACTAATTTGTGCCTGTAATACAGTAATACAAACTCCTAAAAAGAAAACGGCCAGTTAGTGAGTTCGAAATTTGATCGTTCCGGATCAGCCCGACATGAATTCCGAACACGTACGAAAGAAGATATCGTTTAATAAAAAATGTCTGGACAAATTTTACATATAATGGGCAACAGTCTATGGCTATCAGCTATAGCTTCTGTGTTTTTACGCACTTTGTTTATTTACAAACAATTTCCTTGTTTGGGTTGTATTACCGGCACAAATAAGTAAATCCGTCCGCGGGCAGATTGCGATTTATAAGTTTCCGCAACTAGAACCTAAAGCGAATTTTGTGAATTTGCATGTAGATATTTTCATATCAGATAATATCAGATAATATCAGATATGAGCAACTAAATTCATATAATCCGCAAGTAGATCTTTTTAGTTGCACTAAATTAAAAATTGACTTTCAAACACTGCCCGCGGGTCACCTTGGTTGACAGGTTCTAAACTAGAGTGGTTCATCACTATTGGTGAAATTGGCGTTGAATTGTTGCGAAATTAATTTCACCAGCATCAATCTCTACCCGGAGGTGCAATTTTTTTTATTAATTTCTAATTTGTCCGTTTTACGTAATCTGATTGGTCAATTCCAAGTGCCGTGATCGGTGTAGTGATCCAAATCGCTAGTTGAAAAATCAACTAGTTGACAACTTTCCAACTAATCGATTTAAAAAAATTTAAAACAACTAATCAATTAATCATCAAACTGGTACAGTTCCTATATATTCCGTCCAATCGGGCCGTTTCGTGTTGAAATCTTTGGTTTGATTGGCTAATCACCTAACGAGATCATGTGATATGAAAAATCGATTAGTTGCAACTATAGTTGGCAACTAATCGATTGGCAAAATTTTTATCAACTCGGAACACTAGATCGGTGTTATCCGTTGATCTCCAAGTATAAAGCAACGCCAATAACTGAATAAATGAACTATTCAGACCATCGCTATAAACAAATAAATTAGTTATACAAAAAGAGAATTAATTTTTAATAATGCAGACACTAATATAATAGGTTTCACACAGTACCCACGAGTACTGCTGTAGAATTGGTAGTATAATAGTTACGTAGAGATTAGGGTTAAATTAGAAAGAGGTTAGAGCATTTTTGCATCAAATTTGCATCAAATATTAATTACATCAAGTACTAATTGGCTAATTTTTTGACGTACTGCGAATAGCAACAATAGTTTTAAAAAAAGCCGGATTAAAAAAAGTAGATTAGTTAGCCATATTTAGTGACGTTTAGTTTCACCTTAAGTCATAAATTGAGTGATATTTGTTTAATGATATCATTCGGCGATCTCCAACATTTTCTCGATTAAATCACATTGTGAACATAGTTTAAAGCTTTATACAAAAACGTTCACAATGAAAGCGCATATGTACGTACGTACGTACGTACGTACGTACGTACATGCAGTTACCACCTAGAAAAATTCAGCGTAGCTTTCTACGATGACAGTAAAGAACTATATAGTACATTATGGATTGAATTCAAGACAATTCAAGACATTCAGAGAAATTAATTATATCATTCTGCCTCGTTCATTCGAACAAATTTAAATTACTAACACTAACTGACTCCCTTAGGATTGTTAGCATGCAAGATACAAGTTTATGCAATGTGCAAATGTTTATATTTTTTAAACTTTTAGCTTTATGCATATGGGTTCAATTTAGGGAGTACAATGAAAAAAGTAAAGCAGGTTTTTTTGAACGAATGCAGTAAGGAACGTGACAATAATACTTGGAATAATTAAAGATTCTACTCCTTGAAAAGCAACCTTGCTGACAAAGAAACGAATCACTGTGTAAATTATGTTTGTGTCACCAATATGCTGCATAGTTTTACCTTTTAGGATAACATGATTCCTTATCCTCAAACATCACAAAGTAGAAATTCTTTTTTTATTATACACGGTACTGTTCCGTGATAGTATAAAAAACAACTTTGAAGTTATCTGTTTTAATTCTTCACTATTTTTTTTTCGTTCTTTTTGATATAAATAATGGATTTGCAAAGTCAAGCACAAGATCTATTGGATTTATCAAGCCATGTAACTCGTATGCATTTTCGATTACTATAAACTAGTTCTCTCGGTGCTGTGGTGACTTAAATTATATTAACATGTATATTTTTCGTACTTTTAAAAAAAGTATTGCTACAGAAACAATCAGACTCTCTCATAAGGAAACGAACTTTAGTGAAAAGTACTAATAATGAGGCGGACGTGGACGCAAACCTGGCTTACGATATTGCTCTTGCTTCGAAGTCTTTACATGGTATGTGCATGATCTTGCGATTGTCTTTTATATATATATATATAGTTATTCGTGTATATAATGTTCAATTTGTAAAGAACGTAAAAGTGGATCTTGTAAAGCAATTTAATAACATTAAATCTATTCCGTGCTTCTCCCACCAAATTTTCCATCATTCCTATAATACGTATAATACGTTAATACGATTGATCACATCCAACAGTATTGGAAATACGGCGCGAAATTCGCTCTGCAATGAATGAAATATCAGAGATCAAAGAACAATTAAATAAGCTCAAAAATAATATTTCTAGCAATTGGTATGATTATATTCAAGATACAATGGAACACCTACATGTGTTATTGAAAAGAGGAATTGAGCGTAAGCATATAATTATAATCCATTAATTTTGTTTAATATAACTTTTTTACAATGTTTTGTATTATAAATAGTTGCATCGGTTGAAATCCCAAACCCTGAAGAACATAGAAAAACGATATACTATGACAATTATGATCATTATGAATACGAAACTGATGAGTCTTTGTCCGCTAATGATCTTGTTTGCTATGACGACCACATTTTCCAGGATGATTCTTCTCCATCTGACATTTCAACACGTAGTAGACCTGCTAGTATTATGTCTCCTCCATCTCCTGCTTCTGATGATATTCAAGATCGTTGCCTTAAATCAAATTTTGCTCGACGTCATACAATGGATAACGAAGGTGTCTCAGCTGCTCGATTATTCATAGGTAATCTTGGTTTGAAACAACCTCCATCCAAGGCTTCTACTACAACATTTATCTCTCAAGAACAAACTGAAGCAGATACTTCTCTTAATACTAATACTGGTCATTCGTCATTAAAACTTGATCGTGATATATTATGTTCTTCACCTGCCGCACGTCAGCTTTCTCAATTAATAATCCATGAATCTGACGATACAAATGACGAGTTTGTTGATGCCGTAGAGAGGCAAGAAGATAATCATTCCACCAATGACCTCTCTGAACCATTCCTCATTAAAGATCTTACTTCTCACTCGAAACGTTCAAATTCTTCTCGTTCATTACCAACTCTTCTAGAATCAGTTCCTGAAGAACCAATTATACGTTGGGTGAGTTACTATTTAACTTGCCGATATCAATTTTATTAATTTTAATAATTTTAATAATTTTAATGTACTCTTATTTATTCATTTTATTTTTATTTATTTATTAGGCTGATAATGATTATTCTAGTAATGTTACTTCGCTTGCTTTTTCTGCCCTATCTTCGCCTTATCATATCAGTCTTCTTCGGCATAAACCTGCAAATATATTTGCTCAACAAGTTAATGTTAGTAACCCAATACGTATTGGTACTGGTTATGGTTCTTACATTGCTTATACATGTACTGTCAAAAGCCAGGAGGTGATTATTCTGTAGTTTTACTGTTAATTTATATAATGTCCCATTATTTAACTATTTGATTAATTAGGGCGCAAGTATCGTTATCAGAAAACGTTATTCTGACTTTGTTAAGTTGCGATCACAATTGATAAAAGCTTATCCAAAGTTCCGCAAATTGATTCCTTGTTTACCACCAAAGAGAATAATGGGAAAATTTATGCCGGAATTTATTGAGAAACGTCGCAAAGATTTGGAGTATTTTTTAGCCTACGTGTTGCTGCATCCAATACTTGGCCCAACGACTGTTGTGAGAAGATGGTTTTCAGAATAATAACTTGTTTTGTTGGTTGAGATGATGATATTGGCATCAATTGAATTGAAATTTTTAATAGTTCTGTTGATGCTTTGTATAGTTATTACAATCCTTGTTTAAAAAAACTCTGATCCAGATCCTTCCTTTTAAATTGGACGTTAGTAGATTAACTTCTATCGACTATTTCAAACCATAGTATGAAATAATTTTTGTTTGTAAATATTTTAATTTTCGACATTCGTAAATTATATATAATTTATTAATCATTTAAGAGGTTTTTTTTTGTCAAATAGTAACTTTGTTGTAAGGAAAAAAATGAACTTTTCATAAATAATTTGAATAATTAATTAACATTTAAAAAGAATTATTCAATAAATTTGCTTATTTAAAGACAAAACTGCAAATAGTATATTCTTGAACCTTCCTATAGCATTTTTCTGTAGTTCGATTTTTTTATTGCATTATCAGGATGAGTTTTTTTTTGATTTTTTATTATATAACTAATAATAATTTTTTAAATATTATAAGTTCTAAACCTCTTTTATATAATTAAACTTTAGT